AATCAAAATCAAGAGCACCTTTCCAAGCCGGATTCCAACCATGATACCGACTCTAGTAATTCAGAAGAGTCTAAAACAGACACAGACACGTTGAAAGGAGTGCCTATTTTTCCCAATGGGGCGCAAACAGATATCCCTCCACCAAAACAAAATGAAGAATCAGGGATTGCGCTTGGACATGTCGAGGAAGAACTTGTCGCTCCCGAGACACACAAGGAGATTTTCTCCCAGTCTACGTTGAATAAACAATTCTTTTACATCGACATGGACGGTGCAACTATTCTCAATCCAAATCTGATTCCTCATCCCACTGAGAATGAACGATGGATCGTGGTTGCTCAGCTCAAAAACGCCGACCACATATCTGTGGACAGTTTCGAGATTGAGTGCACTGCCTCCTTCAGAGATCTAGCCATGCGCTGTGACGGGGCTCCTAAAGTACTACCTATCAAGCCGACAAGAGGAGACAAGTGCACGGGCAAGTGGGAGATAAACAACCTGAACAGCGGCCCTCATGACGCACGTGTCTTCATGGGCCCAGATTCGCCATTCGTCGTTTACGGCTCTAATTCCCAATTCATCTGCTTTGGCCAGTTTGTACAGAGCTTTCAGTCCCTGGGAGATTGGGATTCACAGCCAAAACAACCCCTGTTTGAGACGGGCACAGAGATGCAGAGACCCGAGCCTTCAAGAAACCAGGTTGAGAAGAACTGGTTCTTGTTTTGGGACGCGGAGGGGAACATGTACACCCATTATGATGCGTATCCAAACCGAGGGTTTTCACGATTATACTCGGACGGAACAACAGGCCCTGATCTTGCCCTACTATCCGCTGAGAGTGATGGCAAATGCTTGGATAAATACATACCTAAGCTGGCTACGGAAAATGAATGGATACACCAGGCGACAAACTCGCTTCTCCTTACCATGTGTCGCCGGAGCGACCAGACTTGCGTCCGGTCAGAAGAAAATACTTTTGTTGTCACCATAATTCAGAAGAAAGTTCTCCAAGGCTTACGCTCTGTATATGAGCCGTACGTGATGGTTTTCAATCAGCGGGCACCTTTTGCGATCCATGGAATATCCAAGAGACCATTGTGGATTCATGGAAGAAAGCCACGGCTAGACCAGAGCACAACCGATATGTTTTATGTTACTTCGATGGGATGGAAAAGCCAGGGCCAGAAGAATCATGGATATCTGGACGATCACTTATTCTTGGCGTTTGGTATAGAGGATGAGATGGGAGGGGCGATTGATATCGTTGCCAATGATTTGGTTGATGATTTGGGACTATGCTACGAAGCCTGAAGCAATTACATGGTGTTTCATACTCTATTTGTATATTTCTTCTTCGTGTAATTTTGAGGGTCTGTGGTATCTTATTTTCAAACTACATATATTTGGTTTTCTAAGGTAATACCGCTGATACAGCAAAGGTCAGGCACAGACTTCATGGACTTCCTCTTATGATCGTTATCGTTTTTCCTAGTTGCCCATTACTTGAGCAGCAAACTTCTTATACTTGCTTCTACCCTTGACTTCTCAACCTAATTTCAGGAGAGATGTGCCCCGAGCCAGTTGTATTCCCGATCAAATATCTTACTCTACAACAGGCATTGTTGTATCTCCGCCATGGCCATTGCTTTAAAGAGCCAGAACTACAATTATACGTCTCTCAACGAGGATTGTACCATTTCCTCTCATCTCGCTATCTTTTGATAACTACACTTCAAATAAATGTTGAGGAATCTACCCGCACCCGCTCTCATGATCCGGTGATTGGATTTTTAATTCGTCGCATACTCTCCAGTCGTGAGTGGCTCCCACTTTGCAGCATCTCTAAGGCCCCAACTAGGTAAGCAAATACAACACAAGGATCCTCAAACTTACTGCAGGCTTATCTTCGAACAGGCGGCAGTCTTCTTCCATCCCTCTTCTGGAACTATGTTTTCAAAAGCGGCTGCGCTGCCTTTATGAGGACGGTATACGGCTGACGGACTAAAGGAGGTTGTCGACTGTTGTTTTACTGAGCGATAAATGAATCCGATTGGAATATTTGTGGAATACACAGTACGGGGATTTTTCAGAATTTCGGGCTGGCGTATTCACGGAGGAGAAAATTAAATAGGAAAGCAGATAGCTTCCTTCTTGATTCTTCTCTATTGCTTTGTGCAGCAAAATGGTAACTCCCTGCAATTCTTGAGGCAGATATAACACTGCAACTGTCTCTAGATTTTAGAATATAAGTTTTTTTTGAGGGTCTTTTCACTTTAAACTGTATCTCATATTCAAACGCTGCGTGAGAAGCATATTTTGGTAACTTGCGTTCTTCCGTGCTCTTTTGCTTGCCCAACCTCTAGTTGTCCGATACTTTCTTTAATATTTATCTGTATAGAAACCGACGATGAAAAGTTTCACTTTGTTCTAAATGATTTGGGAAATGTCTGATTGCAGCACGGCTATCTTGTCCGTCACCCACGGGTCGTGTGAATTGTCCCTCCAAGGGGCTGACCAATGTAAGTACTGTCAACCTGCACTTGTGTCTCACAAACAATTCCACGCTGTCCATACTGCCTAGTATACATTGCTCTTTTAGAACGATCTGGGGAGTTTCCGACTACTTCGGCTTTCCGCTCCAAACCTGAAAGGGGCACCAATCGGACCTCATCTGTGAGCAGAGTCGAGTCTGTATCTTTAGTAGATACGCACCCATGTCTAGGTAAGCATTGTGATGAATATGTTCGTTCTTTGGTTCTCATTGAACCTTTTATCCAATCTCCCGAAGAGGTGGTCCAGGAACCAATCGTCGAGAAAGTTGAGGCCAGTGATCCAACTGCACGCGGCAGGATCGGACAGCACATAACCAGTATGATGCTGGCACCCTCGCCGGCGCAGGTCATTAGCACGGAAGAGAAATAATACTAAACAATTTGTGAGCCTCATAATAGGGAAAACTTAACTGACAAGACCAGCTAGCCTCGTCAATAGGGATCGTCATACCGTCATATCTTCTTCAATCGCGAGCATGAGTCGGATCATGTATGTGGTTCGCACCGCAGCCGCGATTATACCGATAATACCAATTGCGAACACGACTGAGACTCCAAGTTTTTTGTGAGTGGACATTTGAAGACTGAAAATGACCTTTTGCGGAATGATGAAAATGACTACGTCCGTAGCCAAGTTGAAACTCGACGTGACAATGCCAATCAAGGGCGAATTGAACACATTGCAATGTCCGTCGATCTTCTTGTCCCAACTATAAAATCACCAGTCAGCTTGTGTCCTGTGTTTTCAGCACGCTTGGAACCAGTGCGCTGTCTCGTTAAAGAAGTCATGGCCAGTAGCCGTGCCCAGTCATGTTGGGACGGCATAACAAAATCACTTACTTATATGCAAATGGGGTACAAGATGTACTCTCCATCATAATAACACAAGTGTAGAAAATTATGTTGGCCCCGAGGGTCATGTACACAGCCCAAAATTCTGCGCCTCGTCTGCTTCCTAATGCGAAGATATGGATCCATTCCAACAAGATGGCTGATTTGAGAAATACCATGTAAATGCTCAGAATGACACAGAGCAGCTTCAAAGTCTGATCCAGTCCAGCATTGTTAGCGAAACCAAGTAAATTGATCTTCGTTCACCCGGTAAGACGTACTCGAGAGAAAGGTAGCAGCAAGCTAGGGTCGTCGGAGAGGAGTTCTGTCAAGTCGGCCATGTGAACAAAAAGGCCAGGGTTTTGGCCTAATTGATAGCCAAGCGCGAGATAGACCACCCAGATAGCCTAATATATAGTCGTGAGCAAAATATCAACATCGAAAATCGGTGGTCGCGGAAGACAAACATATCCAATAAGTAGTAGGTCTGTATATAACAGTTAGTACGATTTCCAAGGGGCAGATACAAAGACACTACTTCCAATCTGCCAAGAGGGGCTTCCGGAGCAAGATAAAGCGCGCATGCACACGAAGCAACAGAGCGACGGTTGCAATCAATAGGCAAAGGCTGATGATCGCATAGCCCATGATGTTGTTATTTGGCGGCAGCTCCTCCTCCATGCTGGGCTCTGTGTGCCCTGCAATTGGGGCGCAGTATTCGAGGAATTTGGAGAAGATGAGAAAAGAATGCTTCCACGGCCCAGAAAAAAAGCCAGCACGAATTTTCAGGGTGGTTTGCCACGTTTTGCTCTCGTGCAACCTCTCAGATAAGCGTTCCAGGAAAAGAGGTAGTATTATGTGGTAGCACTCCACTCCTCAGCGTCGCAAATGTGACCTCTGGAAACGAAGGGGCATTTTTTTCTCAAAGAAGAAGGTGGAAGTGTTTGGTATGATCGAGGGATCCTGAAATGCAGTGCATATGCTCGGGATAGCCGCGCGTTGCGGTAATGTCGTGTAACAGTCCCGAGTCCATAGGCATGGCTATGAGCTGCCGCCATTCTATGCTATTCTTAGCAGGGGCTGATGCATGTATTCATTCTCCTGGTTGGCCAGTTGATTTTGACCCTGCGCCTATTGCAGAGCGGCAGTTGTATTCCGGCTCATAGGGGCAAACAAATGTGTAGCATCGCCCCTTGTAGGTGCATTCGGTTAACCACTCACTGCATTCCTTCTCGCAAATGGCACCACTGATATCAGCATTACTGTTGCATTAGCTGGACCTTTTGTCCCGCCCTCACCAATCAAGATCGCTGCCATTGTGTTGCTCTTTGGAAGTCTCTACAGCTTTACATAACACCGCTGCAGGCCACGCGTTTACACTCAGCGAAGGATCCTATTGTACGTTTTTGTGAAGAAAGCTAATTGGACAAGCTGCTTCGGCCATTAGTGAATCAAGTCTGTAACCTAATAAACATCTCTTGTCAAAGCAATGCACTGCTTCTGTCGCTGGAAAACGCACGGGTAAACAAAAACGATAACTACCATAGCTGACCTTCTGTTTCTCTAAACTAACATTACTGTAATCTTAATTAAAGCGGTAGAGTATCCTCCGCGTATCTAGTATGAATCCTTCCTGGAATGCCTTTTGTTATTGTCTTCCTCCGACCCATCATTTGTCGGGCTATCTTCCCTTCGTGAAATCTTAATCGTCATCGTGTTCTTAACCAAAATTCCCTCTTCATCGTGGCTGTCCTTGCGGAACTTGTTGCTCTGGGTATCTCCGGAGATGACCGTAGCTACACCGAACGGTTTGTCGATGGCATGGTGGTCGAATCCTCCATTAGAAGAGCCTTCTCCATGTAAAACGTCGGCGAGCTCATATGTTGAAGCAGATTCGTCTGCTTCACTGGGAATGGCCGTCATGTTTTTCGTTGAAATTCTGCCGCGGTGGGAGAGCCCGTGAGAAGCGACTCCAGACTCTCCTGCTGAGCTTCCGGGAAGTTTGCGCTTGAAGATGAAGTTCAAGGCTGGTCGGAAGGTGGGCAGGGAAGCTGCGAAACACACGGTTAGCCTTGGCCACTTGCGTCTACTGACAAATTGACAGGATGGGAACAAAAGAATACCTGACACGGTAACAAGGTTGACCTCGATTGTAGCCCAGAACACAATACTGCTAATGTTCCATGTGAAGTCGATTGATTTTGCGTCGAAGTTGACAGACTCAACTATAATGGCCACCGCAGCCACACAGATGCTATTCGATTACGCCTACTGTCAGTCTGCTGCTTTCATCTAATCCAGTCGAAGAACTGCACTTACAATACACCAAACATGAACATCAACATGACACCAACCTTCTGCATAATCGGCAAGTTGAGCTTGTAGATTTGCACGACGGGCAATGAAAGGATGGCTAAGTCGATAAAGACGTGAACCAGAATGGTACCGAAGAAGAACTTGGAGTCGTCGATAGCGCAGTATCCGCCGGCATTAGAATCCCAAAACGCATGGATCGGAACACAATGCCATATACCCATGAAAGTCTATTGCGTCTGTCAGTATGATGATTTGCTGGGTGTAGCTGAGGCATGAGAAAGCTCACTCTGATAATGATCCAGACGATTGAACAGCCCAAGAGGATCTGGATTGGAAGCTTGATGTTGGTGACGCCGAACATTCTCCAATAGAATGCCAGAATAGAGACCTTTCCGAAGAAGAGTGCAAAAGCGTAGAATAATTCGGCAACGTAGAGGAGTAGTTTGTTGATCGTAAGGACATCTTCAATAGGTCCCCATGTCACATCGTAGACATGTTGCCCCAGTCCCTTCTGTATCCCTGTGATACGAGTATGGTTAGCTCAGTATTCGTATTGTCAAGGGGAGTTTTCCAACATACAGATAATGATGATGATCAACCACACAACGTCAATCATCTATGTGACAGCGACTTGTTAGTTTCCAGGGCCTAACGTCAAAACGACCAGTAGCAGTAGCTCTTACATAGCATGTGATGGCAAGCCAATCATCCCACCAAAACTTCAGTCGTGTAAGAACCCTGCTTAGTACTCGTAGCAGTATTGCGATAGTTGCAAAACCGAACGTGATACCAAGAAGGGTCCAGTGGATGTACACTTGAGACGCCATCTTGAAAACTGGCTGATAGGTGCGGTCAGACACAGTACTCCCTCTAGGTCCGGATGAAAGGAAAGACACAGGGAACGCTGGGCCTGCCAAACTTGCAGGAGATCAAGTTGACTAAAAAGCAAAACTCCGGGGTGCAGCGTAAGGCGAAAACGGCGAATACTTTGCTAGTCATGACTCCGTATTTTCTCAATTACTGACCTCGTCCCTGCCCGCTCGCATAAGATCCGTACTTTCAGGGCTTAGAACAATACCAAATCCCTGGTAGCGATCCGGATCTTCATCCCGGTACCCAGTGCTGGACCCAAGTACGTGGGACATGACCTGCGTAGGGTCTCGGCTAGGGCCCGGCGTATGGCCGTTTTCAGGTATGGTAGGTGGAGGGTTTCATCGGGGCTTTACTGGTCGGCAGTCGCTCGGAATCTAGGACGAGACTGCTGTGGATTCTCGAGATAAACAGGCTTGATGGAGGGCAGTTCTTGGAACATTGAGCATACAACGGCCTGTTTGACGAGCAGTAGCGCAATCTTTAGTTCGCTTCGACGTCGATCAGGACACTAGCTGGACGTGGCGTCAGAGTTTGAGCGAGCGGACTGTTAACTATCACTGAACGGGGTAGTTCAGGGGTTGCGGATGTCATCGAACACGCAATGCGTGACGGGTTTCAACAGCCACCAGGTCGGCAGTTGAGAGTTGGCCGACGCCATGAAGCTTAAGAGATTAGAGTGTGGCATCTTGTTCTGTTTGACAGTTGCTAGCCGCGACGTTGGTCGCAGGTCAAGCCAACAGTCTTTGAGTAGATGCCCAGGGCATCGCCTCAAAAGGGGCATAGCGTTTGATATTGCAATCTCAGTTGTCGATCTACGGTGAGCCAGTTCATGTTCTAGTGCTCACTCAAAATTGGGCACTGATTTTATGCTAACTGAGAATTCAGGCTCACATTTGGCGAGTAATTACTCCGAGCAGCTAAGATGTCGCCAATGATCTGGTCTCGAAATGAGGGATGATCTTCTTCATGTCGATCACCACTCCACCGCCCCAGTCGCCACCCTCATAAATCGCACATCACCCGTTAGATTCTTTTCTTTCCGAACCAATGCATTTCATGAAATCAGGTACCAGGGCTTTATGCTGGCTACCCCGCGCGAGTCATACTCGGCATCTCCCTTTGGATGCTACAACAGCGCATCACGGTTATGGGGCAGTCAATGCACTCGATCAATGAATCAAATTGAACGAAATGTGGTACAAATCGATCAGTGCGGCAAGAAAACAACATACGAAATTAGATAATACAATAAAAAGCAAACCACAGAGCTAGGCTAGACTGAATGTCACTGTGCTCGGGACGACGAGGTCCCGGCCTCTGGTGCGTGTACTAACGCGACGGTGCTTCTTTGTCAAGATGAACCAAGGATTCGTAAATATCCACTTGGCTTCAATAAATCTGCATTCATTTCGCCTAAACCCCGGAAAGCCCTCGGTGAGAGTGTTCACCCCACGAGTGATCGGCGTGATGGACTTCAGGGCATCCACGTGATCGTGCCGACCAGGAGGTTCACATCTTTTCAAGGTGATCAGGGGTTAGCTTTCGATCATAGGTACCTACCTATGCATCAGCTCGCTCTGAGATGCGCTGTGGAAAGGGAAACTGTGGCCTTTTTCAATTTGAAGCATGTTAAACTGGCGGTTTGGACAGTTGGCCAACTCACCCGTCAGCGTTGATGGGACTTTGGGCGGCCTCGAACAGGCCCCAACCATGTATTTCCACCGAGTGAATCCCCTGAAGTATCAAGCACTAGTAAGTATAGAAAACCAAAGCTCCAAAGCACCCTGTAAAGAAACCCTCCCTCCAGTCTACAGTCTGTCTTTTTGCATTGCAATCTGTTCTAAACACAATGCGAAGCCCAAAGAGCTCTAAGAGACGACGTGTTCTAAACCGCGCAACATGCTTGCTCTTGTGTTTTCTCGGGATAGCTTGGGACTATAAAGTCACATTGATGGATGTTGTTTAGAATTTCAAGAGTAAGAGCATCAAAAATATAAGGCCTCGCATACAGGCAACAGTTAAACGTCGCACACTCGTACATGTTTCCTGTCGAACAAACCGATGATGAAATCCATCGTGGTCATCGTCTTTTTCTCTATTTTCGTTTCTACACTTCAACGCCCGACCTTCCCAGAAAGTTCCACCTCAAATCAGATCCCCCAGTTCATTCTCGATCTCGGAAATGACTACATCGAAGCAAACCGCCACATATTAGCATTGCACGGCAACGCCAAGAAGGTGCTCTGCCACCAAGAGTCTCCACTTCGAGACTCCCTCCCATTCAGTGTTCCAGATGATCTGTTCAACAAATTGTTCATCGACAATACCAGGTTCTCAACACCTCGTCGGGGATGGCAAAATGCTCAAGATAGGCTATCCGAGATACTGGACTGCCCAGCAGCCCTTGAATCATGTTCAAGCTTTTACGTCGACATCTACCGGTATGAATACGACACATCTCAGCAGGGTCCTGGATCTCCCGATTCCACGGCCGCCTGGGGAAGTATAATGATTCACCCAAATGCGACGATGAAATACCAATATATGGGCGAAAGCATCGCCCCAATTGATCCACACAATGAATTAGGGGAGCACGCCGATGCCCCGACTACTCTAGCAGATTTGTTTGTTGATGTTCTAACCTCCATGCCCAACCTGCAGACAATCGAATGGAAAGGGCCTGAGGGGACTTTCCAAGGTAAAAGTTTCGAGAGAATGTTCCTCGAGCGCCGGCTTTCGTTGCCGACTGTCAAAAATATGCATCTGCGGTCAAATTTTATATTCCTCGCCGGCATGGCGCCCAACCTAGAGTTTTTGACATATATTTCGACTCTATCCCCGCGTCAATCGCAAGAAAGGTACCGGAAACAGGTGCTAGAAATCATATCAGACCTACCAAGTTTGAAGAGCGTCCGGCTGTATTCTTCTTGGGGCGTGCGTGATTTCCTGGAGCTATACAAGGCAGTACCAAAATTAGAAAGACTAGAAATTGATGGTATAATGGACTTCATAGACTTTTCTAGCACCTGGTGGTCCGGTGAGAAACCAGTTGGCCCCGAGGGGCCTAAATTAAGAGTATGTCTTTCTCGTTCCAGAACAAAGTCATAGTGAGCCACAGGCTCGGTGTGCTAACGTCGTGACAGGGATATCTCCGCTTGCTCCGAGACTTTGATCGACTTAAAACACTTGAGTTACCAGATCCATCGCACATAGGAATGCATGTCGCGCCGTTACAAGGACATCCTTTCGCCTACGAGGGGGTTCTTGGTGCTAAATTTGGAAGGTATGAGGCGTTCAAATATATACAAAAAACGGAACAAGCAGCAAGAATCGTTCTTGAGGAGTTGCCGAACCTTGAACGGCTTTGCATTGGGGGCACATGTACAAACCTGATCCATGACAAGGCGCTTCGTTGGCCTTGGTCTGGGCGCGTACGCGAGTACCTACTCAACAAATACAGCAGGTGGAACGACGAGGTCCGGGGGAAAGTGCTGATTGAGGATCCTAATGGGCCTGTTTTCTTCACTCGTGGGGAGGATAGAACATGGTTGGAGGCCGGTAAAGAGCCTGGGGAATTAGACCTCATCAAACCAGATCGTGCTTCATGGTTAGCTTGGGACGACAGGTACTCTTGCGTCGGCGTCGTTGAATGAGCTGAGACTTGTTGTTCTTGGTTCCAAAGGCAATTCTCCGATGCTTTAAAGCTGAGATAGGAAGCCTGAGAGATTAGTATTTCGATACAGTTTATCGAAACAACCATCAGTAGATGTGAGCCCGCCAGATTTGGCAGCAATGTTAGCGCTGGATCCAATATCTGGGATGCAAAAAATACTCCATTTGATCATCTCTGCCTCATAGAGGTCCTCGACTAGAATATAGCAAAGCAATAGTCCAGATAACGCACGGATGTTGTCTTCACCAACACCGTAGAGGATATCAACTCATCTCTTTTTTAATCGGGAGGGGAGGAAAACTTCACCGGGCACAAAGTAGAAGCTTAAGAAGCTTATTATGATACTTGGAATCAATAAAATGGCCTAAGGAAAATACCAAAGCGATTTGTACCAGATCCAGGGGCATTTTTGGGACATTTGTGGTGGAAACTGTCGAATTTCCTCGTCGACAGATTCGCAAAGACAGACCTTACGAGCTTAGTCTCAACCCAAAGAACAAACATTACAAACAAACATCTGGCCTGAGCTGCTATAATTGCAAACCTTCAGAAGAACAATTAGGCTTGTAAGTCGGCTCTACAGGAGATTGGGGAACCTGTTGCTCATGCAAGCGAGCCTGATTTAGGAAACAGAGACATGTCTACAGACCTCTCTTAACAAATCAAATAGCCTTCAATGCTTTGTTTCATTGCTATGCCAAATTAAAATAAGGTCATAAATTCAAACTGTCCACTGAAAGGTACAGATGAATAAGGTATGACATTTTTGATAGGTATCATACGTAAGATAAGATGAGGATAAAGTACAACAGCAATGGAAGATGCCAGAGCCCGACATCTCAACACAATGCTGATAGGTATCATAGGATGAAGACATGGATAACTTGCTCTAGTAGCTTCGCTAAAATATTGAAAGCCGCAAGCGAGATGAGGCTTGTTCATCCAGTCTAATCTAGCCGATGAGTCCACAGTCGTACGACCTACGGTGAATTCCATCCCAATGTCTCCAAGGTGACGAATCTACACGACCCAATGCAGGGGGGCTTCAGTCCTACAGGCCCAACCGACGTTACATCGAGGCACAACCCACCGGGGAACCAGGAACGCTATTTGCCAACGGGGTAACCCCATATGGGGAGAGGCTCGATTACTGGGACGCCTCACCAAGATCGGAGAAACAAATTCCGAGAGACGAATAACCGGGTGGGTAGCACTCAAATCTTCCGCGTATAGCATCTCTGCAAGCTCAATTCGGCTTCGTCATCCTCAGCCATCTAATTAAATTATTCAAGTATTTAGTCTCGGTGACAAAAGTCACGAGTAGCAAGTTCACAGAATGTTTCGTCAGCGAAATTGCACAGAGTGCAGCGACGAGCTGAGCCAATCCAAGGATCGTCGCATCCTTCCAATCTCGCCATGAGGTCTATCCTCACCGTCTTCACTGCTCTGCTGAGCTTCTCCGACCTCGTCTATTCGGCGGAGCTCTCCAACGGACGTTCAATCCCCGATCGACCGGTGCTGATCCCCGCGCCGTACGGTCCTGCGGTGTCTCGACCGTATTCGCCTCCACGACATGAAGACAAATATTGCTTCGTCCCCGGGCCCTGCAAAGATGGAGAGGACTCGGCTCCTCGCATCTTGAAGGCATTCCAGAAATGCAATGACGGCGGCACTGTTGTCCTCGACAAAGTGTACACCATCTCCTCGCCGCTGGACCTAACCTTCCTCAAACATGTCGATGTGGTGATCACGGGCGAGGTGCATATGAATGATGATGTATACTACTGGGCAGACAATAGCTTCAAGTTCCCCTTCCAGAACACTTCGGCCATCTGGATGATTGGAGGCGAGGATGTCAACATATACGGAGATCTTACAAATGAGCAGTCGCTCATTCACGGACACGGTCAGGCGTTCTGGGAAGAGAACCAAACAAACAAGACGGTGGGTTTTATTCAGTACGTCGCTTGTCAATTGGGTGAGGCTAATTCGAGAAACAGCTTCGGCGCCCACTGCTCGTCGCCATTGAGGGTTTGCACGGTGGCTCCATGTCCAATCTGCGCATGAAGAACCCTGCCTTTGTGAGTATCACAAAGTCTTTAAATGAAATTCCTAGTGTTAATGGGTCTTAGTGGTTCAACATTATTGCGAACAGCTCCGACATCATCATCAGTGACATGCATCTTGAGGCCAAGGTGAGAGGTTTTGGATTCTTGCAGTTCTCGGATCAAATGCTGACTTTGACCAATTCAGTCTGAAAATGGCGTCAAGATTGCGAACTCTGATGGCTGGGATACATACAGATCCGAGCGTATTGTCATCCAAGACTCCATCATCGACAACACTGACGGTTTGCCTTGCCTTCCTACCTCAATTGCGCATTTGATCACTGACTTGAATATTCCGATAGATTGTGTCTCCTTCAAGCCAAACAGCACAGATATCGTAGTCCAAAATCTCGTCTGCGACGGCTCGCACGGAATAAGCATCGGCTCCCTCGGGCAGTACAAGAACGTCACAGACATCGTAGAGGACTTGCACATTTTCAACATCTCAATGAGCAATGCGAGCGACGGTGCCCGTATCAAGGTCTGGCCGGGCATCGAGACGGATTTCCAGAGCGATCTCAATGGCGGTGGCGGGCTAGGCCGTGTCAAGAATGTCACTTACGACACATTCTACCACTACAACAACGACAGGGCCATCACAATCACTCAGTGCTATGGACAGTCGAACCAAACATTGTGCAATGAGTTCCCGGTGAGTAGCCCTCAGTTCCTACTCAGGGCGCTTTCTAACAAGTGTTCTGTAGGCAAATCTCACCATCAACGATATCACGATGAAGAATTTCTGGGGAGTCACTTCTTCCAAGTATGATCCCGAGGCCGGCACCCTGGTTTGTAGCGCAGCAGACGTAAGTTATCCAGACAGTGGAATCAAAGGGGCGAATACTGACCAGTACTACAGCGTTGCAGCAACATCAACCTGCACAACATCACCGTCACCGTGCCTAGCGGAAAGCCACCGGTCTACGAATGCAGCAACGTCGACGAGAGCCTACTCGAGAACATCACCTGCGTCAATGCTGATGATGACCGTGACACCGGCCAGGGGTAATTGGAGGATATGGATAGGGGTATGGCACAGGGTACTATTTAGATTGCTACACTCACGAAAATGTAAAGGAAATTATACAATTGTACGGAAATGAGTTCGAGTATAAAGATGAACAACGATGGAAGATGCCAGACCCGACATCTCAACACAATGAATACGGAAGATTAAAAACCCCTTGCTAGCCCAAGACTGTAGTCATACGGAAGGGAAAGTATGTAAATATCCATGCCGAGTTCTACAAGCATACACATCACAGATCATGGGACAAATTAAAATTGATGAGCCAGTCTTTTTATTTATTTTTGCTTTACAGAAATGCTCTATGTGCAACTCAATCCCCCGAAACAAATCCACCACCGGAAAAGAAAACCACTGTTTAATTAGACACTAGGAATGCGAGAAAGAAACTGATATCCAAGTGCTTCAAGGGTCCCAGACCCAGGAAGACGAGACAGGATGGTCCTTTTGTTGATCCGCTTACAGCTTGGGGCGGGCACCACCACGGATGGAGCGCTTCTTGGCGCAGGTGCTGGGGGCCTTGGTAGAGCTGGGGACGGCGGCGCTGGAGCTGGCGCTTGGGGAGCCACCGTTGTTGCCGCCGTTGGTGGGACGGGCGGAAGCGGAGGTGACGATGGAGGTGAAGCTGGGGGTGGCGGTCTGAGTGGCAGCAGGGGAAGAAGTGATGGGCTGGGCAGCCGAGGTGGCGGGAGCTGAGGTGGGAGCAGAGCCAGCGCTGGTGGTAGCGGTAGCGGTGGGAGCAGCAGCGGCGGAGGAAGAAGGAGCAGGAGAGGAACCGCTGTCACCGCCGGTCCAGACGGCAGGTCCGGGAATGGTGTAGCTGGTGAAGCTGCCGTAGAGGTTGAAGACGATGCCGGGGTCAGCGTAGGTGTAGCCGGTGTTGAAGTCGAAGTTCTCGCTGGGGCTGGAGCTGCCACCGGAGGTGATCTCGACCTGGACGCAAGTAGGGTAGAACTGGGCACCACGGGCGGAGTTGACGTTGTAGGCGGTGTCGGACTCGTGGTGGGCGATGATCTCCTGGCGGAACAGGTACTTGCCGGCCTTCAGGGCAGAGGGGATGGTGACGACCTTCTTACCGCCGTTGGCGACGAGCTTCTCAACAGCCCACTTGGAGCCGTCGTAGCCCTCCTCGGCGATCTTGGTCCAGATAGGTCCGGTGCCAGCGCCGTCAGTGTACTCGGCAACGTAGGTGATGATGGGGCCCTTGTGGGACAGATCAATGATGTCGTCGGCACGGGTGTTGTGGTACCACTCGAAAGTGAGCTCGTCACCAGCGGCAGCAGAGACGAAGCCAGTGCCGGCCTTGGCGCCGTTGACGTTGCAGACAAGGTTGGGGGAGCTCAGGTCCTTGACGGGGTCGTTGTTGGGAGGGCTTCGGATGTATGTGGTTCGACCATCGCCTTGGTCTTTGCCGTTGACCCAGACACTCCAGAGGTGGGTGTGAGCAGAGACAACGCTGGCCATGGCCAGGATAGTAGCAGCGGTGCAACGCATGTTGATGGTTTAGGGATGGGTTGGGGAAAGAATGGAATGTAAGTTCTCGTTGGAAGTGAATCGATGCGCGAATGATGCGTAAGTGTTCGAATGTATGTTCAGAGAATGCGTGATAGAACGTCAAGTTCAGGTATTCCGGCACAGCCAGCTAAGTCAAAAAGAGAGGTTGAAAGAGAGAGTGTATCCTGGCCAAGGGGCTATGGTTTGGTGAGGAGGAGAAGGAAGAAACAGCAACATGGCAGAGGAGGTCTGCGAGCTTTATACAATGCTCTGCTGCTTGTCCCACGGCGACGATGGAGGCTTCAAGGCTGGTAGGTCCCGCCACGACCCGTAACGCAATTCTAAACAGGCTCCATTCATCATCTCGCCGGTCAGGTAGGAGACAGTAGGCCAACGGTCGGCTCCATGGGTTGGAAGCCCTTGTCATGACCACACCAGCCCAATCACGAGGCGAGCAACCGAGCATCTGGAACATGAAAATATGCAGTCATAATTTCAGGCACTAGGCGTTGGCTGGTTTCGATCATCTAGCTGATGGCAGGGGGGCTTGACCAAGGAAAATGGCTCTGATATGGGTTACACACGTCCTGTCGCCGCTGACCAAGCCCCAACATGTGGCAGACCATAGGTTCATCTCACATCTACTGACGAATTCGGATTTCGGAGCGATGAGGCCGGGCGGCAACATGCTTAAAGCGGAGAGAGGCCCCAGCGCAGGGATCCTCTCTCACCCCGGGAACCGAGCAGCCGCAGATTCAAAGTGAGGGAGTGTAGGGATCAGGCCTCCAGGACACATGTTTCAGGTCCCAAGCCATGCTCCAGACCTGAGGCACAAACTCCGCGAGCAGCCTACTACATACGCGCAAGGAAGAAAAACCGCGGGCTGGCAGGGATTCGGCCAAATGAAAGGTCGAGATTGGCCAGCCGAAAGTCCCTTCTAAGCAGCGGTGCCTTGTTTTGAGACCTGTGCGAGATGGAGATACAGATGGCATCGAAATCAAGGGCAGAGGAAAAAAGGAGAGAAAAATAAGATCCGGACATCTTGGATCCAGGAGCCTTTTTGCGTCAGAAACATGCGAGTTTGGGAAACGAATTGGCCAACCACGGGCGATTTGAATTATTCTGAGTCGAGGGGCAATAGCACAGAGAGTAAAATTACATGAATCCCATCCAGCGCGTCAACCTGCCTACAAACCTGTGCAGGATGGATGAATCAATCAACAGGTGGTATGGCGCAACGCCATGCATGTCAATTGGCCATGTGCGTATGCAGGTACACAACTCTCACGCAGCGCTAATGCTCTGAAGAGGAAAAGGGGGAGCATTAGATTCTAGACATTACCCCTCACTGTATCATCACTGTTTGTCCAGGAGAGCCGACGCAGGGAGCGAACGGTGGCACGGACAGGCAGATGGAACCACGTTTCACAGTCCACCAGGACGCCGACCTAACGGCTCCTACATGATAGGTACGGTAGGAATAATGAGGATCCAATCTTGATGAAAAGTCCAGCCAGGGCTCGTCTTGGCCGGCGTAGGCTTGTCCTCTCTCGTCTCTGCCGACGACACCACCGTCGACCAAGACAGTTAGTCTGCCCGAGTGTGAGGACTCCTTCATTCGCCAGCTTCCGTTGCGGTCAACTCAAACGCCTAACCCATCGCCCTTTCAACGGTCTGGTGCCCGTATGTGTGCAGAGTCCAGACGCCCGCACGCCGGTCGCGTCATACAGGCCCGGCGTCTACGTGAGACGGCGAGCGTCAGGTTGCGACCCCTTACATATGACAGAAATCCCCTGCCTCAGCCAGCACACAGCGTCATGGACCTGTCGGCTGCTAGGCGCGAGAAAACTCTGCCCTGACTGACCCTTGGCCGCCGAAGGGTCACTTCCAAATTCTAATTCCATTTAAGCTCGAACCATGCCAGCAGTTTAACCTTGATTCAAATTCATGTTCTCGGCTTTGCCAGACACTCTTGAGAGGGCCTGAATTAATTTTGCTGCTGATCAGCAAAGCAAGGGGTTATTGCTTGTTCTGTCCATGGCGCCGCAGCTTCAGCGCCGCGTCGCAGGTGGCTTGTAGTTGGAAGTTGGACTTGCCATCGCACGCCAACTCTATTTACTATGATTAAGATAGGCTCGTCATTTATGTATAAGATTATGTTTCAAGATATGCTTACACGTAGTTTGGGAGCGAATATGCGCTGCTCTATCTCCGATTGAACCGAATGTCACCCTTCAGGCAACATGGGCCGATCCGACAGGGCTGTTTACAGGGCTGTTTGCAGCATCTCAGCGGGCAGCCTCTTCATTTTAGCGGGCAGCCTCTGCTGACGCTCTCCACCCGGGGCGTATCCAGCTGCCTCCCGCGGACTCCAGCTGATAAGCCCCCTATCAGTCCCCACTCTTGTCCAGGTGCCCCAGATCGCTACCCTGGAGCACTCTCAAACACAAGGAGAAGCTGCGAGTAATCCCTTACCCTATATCACGAGAAATGCAACTCTCCCAAACACATCTTGAGACAGATGACGCCTGGAAACATCTTTAAACGCCAACATATGGTTATGCCGTGTAAGTAATTTTGGATTGCCATTTGATTAATTATTATTTAAATTTGTTGCAAATTGTTGGAGGTTTATGTATTTGAAACTTTCTCTACGGACCTCCATTATGTATCCCACTGGCTTGAGTCAAGAAGAAAGAGGTCAGCAGTGAACGTTGAAAGCAATTCATGTCATGTCATACAGGCGACTCGCACGAAAGTCTCCGCGGAGACGTCACGGAGATCTATAAGGCATCAATACAATGAATTATCATCTTTGCCATGTGTCAAACCGGCCCTTTTCTGACGTTCGTTCTTCCGCTCCGTTCCTCCCGACCCTTGACCATCTCGGCATAACGAGGCTTAATTGCTGGCTTTAAATTTTTTATTCCGAGATGATAGCGAATGAGAGTTCGTATTTACGACACAGGTATTCTAGAGTCAGCATATTGTTATTCTAATTAATTATTCGACTTGATGTTATCATGGCCTTCTAGCATCTTGGACTCAGGTATTTCATCCATTGAACAGAGGCAACGATCAAGCATGTAGCAATAGGCTATTCGTCTGCCAATTACCCCGGTTTTGTCCGTTGTCCAGGCCCAAGCTCAGCCGCAGTACGCAACATCCATGCTGGGCGTCCCGGAATGTTCTCGTGCCTGTTCTGCGCTCACATCAGCTCATAATATGTCAGAGAAACACTGAGCGCTGTCCATCATTGGCTTCTAAAGTCAATCTAGATGACTCGCAGTGGATACTTCGCGAGCCAGCTGGAGCCTTGCAAAAACCACTCACAGATCTCATTTTTGTCAGCACCAAAGTGTGGAGTGGCCCTTGTCGGAATGATGGAATACCGGCCTGCAGGATCTGCTAGAATCAGAGCGGCAGTGTAATCCTTTGAAGTAGATTGTAAGGCTTATTCTACCATGACGATGCGTCGAAAACAGCAG